TTGCCTCACCAATCAAAGCTATCCACGCTACAGCAAGAGTCTTACATGAAACCCTAACAACGCTTACAATTCTGTTGGGGTGCAGTCTCCAAGCTTGGTGGTGAATTTCCAAAAGGGACTAAGGCGGAATGTCACAGGAACTATTCTTTGGCTCTTTGGGTGGGTAGGTGTCCTTGGGTTTGTATCACAGCTACCTTTTTTTTTCTTTAAACAGCTACCAAATCCATAGGATGAGCAGTCCAACCAATACTGAACAGTTTTCTTTTTCTGCAGATTATTTGGGTCCTTAAACATCTTCTCCTTCATCATGTTTCTCTCTTCCTCTTTTCACCTTTCCCGCTTTCTTCCTCTTCCTGATCCTCATCCTCATCGTCTTCATCTTCATCAACTTCTCCATCATGTCCAAATTCTTCTTCCTCCCCACTGACTTCATCTTCATCCTCTTCTCCTTCTACATCTTCGTCTTCATCCTCTTCATCATCAACTTCTTCTTCCTCACCATCCTCGTCCTCCTCATCTTCTCCTTCTTCATCATCCTCTTCTTCATCCACCCCGTCCACCTCAGCATCTGAGTCAGGAGCTTCTCGATCCTCTCGGTCATAGCCATCCAGGTAAGTCAGTTGGGGCAAGAGCTTGAAGACACTCTCTCGGTAGTCATTCAGGTTAGTAACCTCACAGTTAAACAGATCCAGGCTTTTCAGAATTCCAACTTTTTCAAAGGTTCCAAGGTACTGATATCTTTCAGTTTATTTCCACTTAAATTTAGATGTGTGAGATTTGGAAGTTTTTCTGCCAACATGTCCAGACATCCAGAGATTCTATTGTCACTGACCTCAAGCTTTTTCAATTTTGGTAGTTTGGGGAGATTTGAAACTGAAATCAAGCCTACATTTACTAAACTGAGGAACTCTAAGTTCACAAATTCATCTGTTAAGTCCTCAATTTTCCCATCATCTGATTTGCAATTGTCCAGGACAAGTTCTCGAACAGTGGCTGGGGTCCGGTTCCTTAGCTCCAGGTGAATCCTCGTCTTCAAGTTCATGATTCCCACTCCCCCCCTCTTCAAACTTAACTTTCCATGGCGGGGGCGGAGGGGGGAGAGGCGTCCTAGCCTGCGCATTGAGGGCGGTCGGGAGGGGTCGGGTGTTGGCAGAGGCCGGTGTTGAGGGGCTGGGCGGCGTGCGGCGTGCAGGCAGGCAAGCGGAGCCCCCAGAGGCAAGTTACTCGCGGGAGCTGAGAGAAACCATGGAGGGAAAAGGGAGCTGCAGCGCAGCGTGGATCTCACTACCCCCGCCCCCGGCCGCGGCCTGCACTGCGCTTATACTGGAGACGCGGTGCAGGTGCAGGCGGCTGCTCTGCTCACTCAGCCCCGCGCCTACAGAATATCTTTAAACTACAAGCCTGGTCCATGACATTCTTGCACACAGGTGGTATCCTTAAGCCCGGCTTGTGCCCTTTTGCATCCCGAAGCCCTGGGAAGATGTCCCACTGACAAAGGTAAATAACACTTATATCCATATAAAGAATTATACAAAAATGTTTGTACCAGCTTTATTAGAAATAACCAAATATTTATTAAAATGGATTCATGATGGTGATATATTCAAAAATAGGTATATCTACCAGAGCCCTAGAAGGTTTGTCTCTGGATAGAGCATAGGCCAGCAGACTGAAGAGTCCAAGATTCGATTCCAGTCAGAGGCAAGTACCTTGGTTCAAGACTCCTTCCCAACTTGGGCCCTGGTAAAGGCTCATGAAGGAGGCAACCAATCAATGTGTTTCTCTCACATCCATGTTTCTCTAGACTTTCCCTCTCTATTCCACTCTCCAAAAAAAAAATCAATGAAGAAATATCCTCAGGTGAGGATTAACAACAAAAAGAATATTTATCTAAAAAATAAAAAGATGACTTACTAATATATCTTTAATAGATGTCCAAGAATTTATGAAATATACATTAAAGCAGAAAAATACTTAGAAAAAGCTAAGATCTCCATTAAAATGGAATGTTAATTCCTGGTTACTAGAAAAGCTGTGAAGAACATGGACAGATTATACGAGGTCATGAAGCAAATACAGTCATAGATATGATCAGTATGATGAGGAGAATGATGGTTTCAGTTTCATGCACATGTCAAGATTTATAAAACAGTACATTTAACACATGTAATTTACTCAATACAGCTGTCATAAAATGGCTAAAGATAAAAGAAATGTATATTCAAGTATTTTGTAACAACAGGTTTTGCAACTCTATATTCAATCAACATTCTTATGCCCTCTGGGCAAGTCTCATTGCAATGACAGAAAATGTAAGGAACAATGAAGTACTTTCACCCAAACCAATGGTTGGCAAACTCATTAGTCAACAGAGCCAAATATCAACAATACTTCTTCAAAGTAGACTCTCCCAGGCCCCAGGTGGAAAACCGACTTCTGCGCATGTGCCAGGAAGTTTCAATCTCAGTGTAAGTTTGCGCCAGCACGTGGTATTTAGTGGAAGAGTCACACTCAAGGGGCCAAAGAGCCGCATGCAGCTCGTGAGCTTCAGTTTACCGACCACGGACCCAAACCGACAAGAATGCTGGCTGGGTCACAAAAGCCACAGCCCTGGACTCAAGACACCCTTTGTTTTCCTCTTAGTTTTGCTAACAGAGCACCAATGGCTCTGATGGGAACATTTGAGGAGCTACAGGAAGACACAAAACTTCTTGATAATAATCAGGGACAATGACTGCTCCACAGAAGATAAACATACCGAGATGTCCTGCAGATCTGTATACACACGGGCCCTGTAGTCTTTTTCTGAAAAAGTTTATGGGCCCTAACCTGCTTGGCTCAGTAGATAGAGCATCGGCCTGGGGACTGAAGGGTCCTGGGTTCGATTCCGATCAAGGGCATGTGCCTTGGTTGCGGACACATCCCCAGTGGGGGTAGTGCAGGAGGCAGCTGATCCATGTTTCTCTCTCATCAATGTTTCTAACTCTCTGCCCCTCTCCCTTCCTCTCTGTAAAAAACAAATACATCAATATATTTTTTAAAAAGCTTCTGGGTGCAGGTTTAGATGAAAATCATTCCATTGAATAGGCTGCAGTCTGGTCCAAGAGGAATTAGGTCACTGTTTCTGTAGAGAAACTGTTTCCCCTCAGTGCAATGGTCCTGAAACCAGTGCCCATCACCCATGCAACTGTAGGCATTATGGCACATGGCCCTGTGCAAGACCTGGACAGGAGGTTCCCTTCAAATGTCGTAGCATTCCTTGAAAACAAGGAAAAATTTCAAGCTGCTAGAAAACATATTTGAGGTTGTCACAACTACCCCCTCTTTGGAGTGATCTCTGTGTCTCAAGGTATCCAGCTTCAAATGAGGACTAGAGAGACTACAGTGTTTCCTGGGAAATTATGGGCAGCAATGTAAATTTGGCAAAAACTGCTGAGCCAATTTCTGCACCATAGTCTTCCCCCAAGGGCAAAAATGTTTGAAACCCCGTATAAGTTTTTCACAGCATCATGCTTGGAGTGCCCATATCTCCTTATAAACTAACCCATAGAGTCAATTGAACACCCAACATTAAAGAAGTTTTACGGAGAAGCCTTCATTATTTTGCAAGGAAAGAGCCATGAGACTGGGATTTCTTTCATTGGTTAGGAACTCGATAAATTCATTAATGGCACCTAGGGTAAGTTTGTCCGTGAAAATGGCAGGTCTTCTGCAAGATTATGTTTACTGGTGCCACCAGTAATCAGTCCTATGTGGCAACTCATGACAGAGAAACAAGAAAGACTAAGGGCCCAGGTATTCCTCATTTTCTTCAACAAATTAGATAACAGAGTTAGCTTCCCTGGGCCCATGAGGATGGTGATTGAGGCCATCGGTAGGGGCCTTTATAAGTGGTTCAGGTGAAATACCTTCAGCAACATAAATATACAATGACACAGATCTGGCAAGACAGCTCTGTATGTTTAACAGTCCAACATAGATACATACGGTTAAAACATACAAACAAGAAAACAGAAGAGCAAAAATAGTGGCGGGAATGTTACATCAAGTAGGTGATTAAATGTAGGAGCTAAAATTCAGACTAACAAGACTTCACATATTTTCTTATACAATTGTTAAGACCTAAGTAAGAAACTACATTTTCAAAACATGTAAGAAATTTTTCACATTTGGACTCTTTCGTGCAAAGCGAATTTACAAGTTGGGCAGAAAGAGATCTCGTACTAACTACACTCATTAGGACTTTCTCCTGTATGAACTCTCTGATGACAATGAGGCTGAGAGTCAGTTGTAAAAGACTGACCACATTCACTGCATTTATCAGCAATTTCTCCTGTATGAACTCTCTGATGACAGCGAAGGTTGGTGCTACTGGTATAAAATTTCCCATAGTCACTGCATTTATAAGGCTTTTCTCCTGTATGAACTTAGATGATATTGGAGACCATTGCAACCTGCAAAATATTTCCCATGTTCACTACATTAATAAGGCGCTTCTCCTGATGAACTCTCTGATGAAGACAGAGTCACTGCTGGTGATAAAAGACTTCCCACATTCACTACAGTGATAATGCTTTTCTCCAGTGTGAACTCTCTGATGACTGTGAAGGTGGGCCTTAATGGTAAAAGACTTCCCACATCCACTGCATTTATAAGGCTTTTCTCCTGTATGAACTCTCTTATGACGACAAAGGTCAGTCTTACTGGTATAAGATTTCCCACATTCAGTGCATTTATAAGGCTTTTCTCCTGTGTGAACTCTCTGATGACGACAAAGGTCAGTCTTACTGGTATAAGATTTCCCACATTCAGCCGAAACCGGTTTGGCTCAGTGGACAGAGCGTCGGCCTGCAGACTGAAGGGTCCCGGGTTCGATTCCGGTCAAGGGCATGTACCTGGGTTGCGGGCACATCCCCGGTGGGGGATGTGCAGGAGGCGGCTGGTCGATGTTTCTCTCTCATCGATGTTTCTGACTATCTCTCTCCCTTCCTCTCTGTAAAAAAATCAATAAAATATATTAAAAAAAAAAAGATTTCCCACATTCAGTGCATTTATAAGGCTTTTCTCCTGTGTGAACGCTCTGATGACGGTGAAGGTGGAACTTAGTGGTAAAAGATTTCTCACATTCAGTGCATTTATAAGGCTTTTCTCCTGTATGAACTCTCTGATGACAATAAAGTATACTGCTGGTGATAAAATACTTTCCACATTCACTGCATTTAAAAGGCTTTTCTCCTGTATGAACTCTCTGATGACAGCAAAGGTTGGTGCTACTGGAATAAAATTTCCTTCAGTCACTGCATTGATAAGGCTTTTCTCCTCTATGAACTCTTAGATGATTTTGGAGACCATGGCAATTTGCAAAAGACTTTCCACATTCACGGCATTTATAAGGCTTTTCTCCGGTATGAACTCTTAGATGATATTGGAGACCATTGCGACCTGCAAAATATTTACCACATTCACAAAATTGATAAGGCTTTTCTCCAGTGTGAACTCTCTGATGACTGTGAAGGTGGGCCTTAGTGGTAAAAGATTTCCCATATTCAGTGCATTGATAAGGCTTTTCTCCTGTATGAACTCTCTGATGATGACAAAGGTCAGTCTTACTGGTATAAGATTTCCCACATTCAGTGCATTTCTAAGGCTTTTCTCCTGTATGAACTCTCTGATGATGACAAAGGCCAGTCTTACTGGTATAAGATTTCCCACATTCAGTGCATTTATAAGGCTTTTCTCCTGTATGAACTCTCTGATGACGACAAAGGTCACTCTTACCGGTATAAGATTTCCCACATTCAGTGCATTTATAAGGCTTTTCTCCTGTGTGAACTCTCTGATCACTGTGAAGGTGGAACTTAGTGGTAAAAGATTTCCCACATTCACTGCATTTATAAGGCTTTTCTCCAGTGTGACGTCTCTGATGTGTTTGAAGGTGGGCCTTAGTGGCAAAAGATTTCCCACATTCACTGCATTTATAAGGCTTTTCTCCTGTGTGAACTCTATGATGAGTACGAAGGTAGGCCTTAGTGGTAAAAGATTTCCCACATTCACTGCATTTATAAGGCTTTTCTCCTGTGTGAACTCTCTGATGATTGTGAAGTTGGGTCTTAGTGATAAAACATTTCCCACATTCACTGCATTTATACGGCTTTTCTTCTGTATGAACTATCTGATGACGATTAAGTTTACGGCTGGTGATAAAAGATTTCCCACATCTACTGCAGTGATAAGGTCTCTCTGCAGTGTGCACTCTCTGATGACGAAAAAGTTTAGTGCTTCAGGTGTAAGCTTTCCCACATTCACTACATATATAAGGCTTTTCACCAGTGTGAATGTTCTGATGACAATGAAGGTTACTACTCCTGGTAAAAGATTTTCCCCGCTCATTGTACTCATAAGGCCTTTCTGCTGTGAGAACTCTCTGATCATAATGGAGGGCACTGCTATTGGTAAAAGATTTTCCACATTCACTGCGCTCATAAGGCCTTTCATTAATGTGCAAAGCTTCATGATCACCTAGGCTGTTACTACTGCTAAAAGCTTTCCCATATTCACTGCACTGATAAGGCCTGTCTCCCGTGTGACCTTGCTGTAGAAGATAAAAGCTAGAAAATTTGGTAAAATATATCCCACATTCAGAGCACACAAAACATCGACTTCCAACATTGAAATCTTTTTCCTGAATAAACGTGTGTTTGCAGGTACTGTTTTTCTTACATTCTTTTCTGGGGTAATAATTTTTTGTCCTTTGAAATGTCATTCCCTGTGTCAAAATAGCATTTGGACTGTCCCTGGCCTTTAGGTGGAGATGTCCTGATTCAGTAAGGACACCCTGCCCAACCTCTCCGCATGAGAAACGATTCTGGGACACATTGAAATTGCAGCTGTTTGCAAGGGAGATCCTGTCCACACCTCTAATGAAAGTCTTCTCTCTCACATGTTGCTGGTGAAATTTTACAGTGAAATAAAACCGTTTTGCACATGCCCCACACCTCAACAGTATCTGTGGGTGTTGTGTTCCCTGCAGCTCCATCACGTGGAAAATGTTTCCCAAGACTAGTCCACAACTCTCACAGGGGTGGCTCTTCTGGGAAGACAAGGCTAACGTGGGATTCGTTTCCTGTGACACTCTTACAGAAACATTCTTTTCAGGCGCTGCCTCCACATTCTCTGCTCCACAGCAGCAACCTGAACAAAAGGAAATACTGGTGAAGTATGTGTCGATCCCATCAAAACAAAATATCTTCACCACGAATGTTTATCTGTCATGGCTAGGCACGATGCCATAGAAAGGTTTTAAGGACCAGTGAGGTATCCTCTGAGGGAATTGCTGTTATAAATATTGTGGCCCCAAAAGTTAGTCGGTGATGTAAAACAAAACAATAGAGGGACAGAAGCACAGGACGGGATACAAAGAACAGAGGAAGTTCCTGAACCAATGGCTTCTTATTGGACCTTACATGCTGGCCATGTGAGTTTGTGTAGAATAATATAAAACTGCTCAAAGTCATAGAAATTAATTGTATTAGAGCACATGACGTTCAACATCCATATAATAACATGTGTGCACTTCAAGGTGCTGCAGGCATGGACCAACGTTGGCTTGCAGTAAAGATAGACCAGTAAAAGAGGCAGACGTGCAAAGTCCAGAGAGGTGAACGTTATCTGTGGGCTGGGAATCCAAGAAAGGATCACTATTAGAACTGAGAAGTTGGCAAAATAAAAACAATTGGCACAAACAAGCATAATTGGGTGAGGAATGCGCAACCATAAGAAAACACTGGGTTTCTAGCTATGAATATAACAAAGGCCAGCCGAGAATTCCTGCCCAAAGACCCTTCTCCTAGGCAAGACCGCCTGTGGGTCCACTGTGTCATTAATAAAGTCCTGTTTTGCCCGAACGGGTTTGGCTCAGTGGATAGAGCGTCGGCCTTTGAACTGAAGGGTCCCAGGTTTGATTCTGGTCAAGGGCATGTACCTTGGTTGCGGGCACATCCCCAGTGGGGGGAGTGCAGGAGGCAGCTGATCGATGTTTCCCTCTCGTGGATGTTTCTAACTCTCTATCCCTCTCCCTTCCCCTCTGTAAAACAATCAATAAAATACATTTAAAAATCAATAAATAACTTCATGTTTCTTCTGTGATGCAAAAATGATTCTTCCCCTTAAATCCCATTTGAGCCATTGCACGTGATAAATGATGCAAATCTGCAAAGAAAAACAACAAAGTTGGATGGTCAACACTGTGGTAGAACAAAGGACAAATGAGATCGCAGACAAAAGACCTATGTGAGCCATAGCCGGCTTGGCTAAGTGGATGGAGTGTCTGCCTGTGTACTGAAGATTCCTAGGTTCGATTCTTGGGAGGGACACGTGCCTGGGTTGCAGGCTTCATACCCATGAGGGGGTGTGCAGGAGGCAGCCAATCAATTATTCTCTCTCATCATTGATTTTTCTATCCCTCTCTCCCTCTCCCTTCCTCTATGAAATCAATAAAAATATATTAAAAAAAAAAGACCTATGTGAGTAACATCAGCAATACGGCAGGATCAGAGCTATCAGTATCTGCCCTATCCTAGTGTAAGTAGACAGCTAACCATGAACAAAAACCCCATAAGAAATGGGGATAAGAGTACCATGAAGACAAACAGTATAAGAGAGAGAAATAAAAGAAAACTATATGGAAAGAATGACGGGATAGACTGGGTGAAGAAACATATAGGAAGATACCTACAGTCAAAAAAGAGGGTCACCGTTACCTCCAGCAGCCACTGTGCATCCACTATCATTAATCATAGTGGCCTGTTCTTCAAAAAATACTGGAAATATTTGTGTTTCAAAACCATAGAATGGCACTAATTGGTTTGGTTCAGTGGATACAGCGTAGGCCTGTGGACGCTGGTTCGATTCTGGTCAAGGGCATGTACGTTGTTTGCGGCCATATCCCCAGTATGGGGTGTGCAGGAGGCAGCTGATCGATGTTTCTCGCTCAATGATGTTTCTAAGTCTCTATCCCTCTCCCTTCCTCTCTGTAATAAATAAAAAATATATATTTAAAAACAAACAAAAAACATAGAATGCCTCGGTCAGTATTGCTCAGTTCGTTGGAGCATCGTCCTGTGTACCAAAGAGTGGAGTATTCAATTCCCAAGTCAAGGCACATATCAGTATATGGGTTCCATTTGTAGTTACCCTGTGTACACAAGTCAGCCAATTGATGTTTCTCCCTTACACTGATGTTTCTCTCTCTCCATCACTCTTCCTCAAATATTTGAAGAAGCATCAGTAAAAGGGAGATAAGGCAAAATAAAACTATGCAAATATTGGCTACCCTTGAGTTAGACTAAAGCAAAACACAAAAACCAACAAACAAAAACTAGCTTCAGAGGGGTAGGGGATCCTAGGGAAAGGTAAATTGGGGGACAAAAAAAAACATGCTTCAAAGAAATGAAAGATAAGACATTACAGCTGAGACTAGGAAACACAAAGCATCATAAGAGATGTTGATGTTAGAAGACAACATGACCCTCCATAGAGATATTGGTCAAGATCCCATATGAGCTTCTGAAATTAATAAACAAATTCAGAGCCCTGGCCATGTAGCTCTCTTGTTGAGTGTGTGGTCCCAATGCACCACGGCTGTGGGTTTGCAGGGTACATGTAGGGGACAGCCAATAAATGCTTACATGGGAAAAAACAGCAGATCAATGTTTCCCTTTTTCTCTGTTTCCCACACTCAACGGGCCAAAGAGCCTCATGTGGCTCGCGAGCCGCAGTTTGCCCACCAGGGACCTAGGAAATCACAGTTCCATTCCTTGTCAGAAGACATGCACAGGTTACAGGCACAATCTCTAGGATGGCTGTGCAGGAAGCAGCTGATCAATGAGTCTCCCTCATTATTCATGTTTATATTGCTCTGTCCTTCTTTTCCTCTCTGAAATCATAAAATGTAGTTTAAAAATAAATAGATAAATAATTTAAGGAATAAATAGCCCTGTCCCGTGTCGCTCAGTGCTGAGAATGCCTGCTTGCACAGTGGGAGGTCATGGATTTGATTCTTCGTAAGAGGCACGTATGTGTGCTTCAGATTCAACCCCCCTCCTACTCGGGGCACAAGCGGGAGGCAACCAATTGATGTTTCGCTCTCTCTCTCCCTTTCTCTATCTCCCTCAGGAAAATAATCAATGAAAAAATTATTCTCCCTATTCAGGTGAAGATAAAAGTAGAAAGAATAGAATTCAGAAAAGTTACAAGAGAGGAGATCCAAGATGGTGGTGTTGATAAAGGCCTATACTGGCTTCCTCCCACAACCACATCAAAATTACAACGAAAATACACAACAACCATCAGCCAGAAAGCCTGGAAAGCTGGCTGAATGGAGGTCTTAAGACTAGAGAGGTAAAGTAGAAAGCACCCTGAGACTGGTAGGAGGAAAGAGGCTCAAAAGGTGACGGTCCTCTACCCATTTGGGCCACTTTTCTAATTGAGAGGGAGATGATCTCTGCAGAGATCACCTGGAGGAGCAAGGAGTCCCAGTACCACATCAGACGCCCAGCACAGGGTCCCAGACTGGGGAAAAAAGGCCCTAATGGCAGTAAGAATTACGGGCTGTAAAAACCAATGCAGATGGGGTTCAGTGACACAGAGGCTGCATGAGACCCAGCTGCTCCTCTTACAATGTCAGTACCACGAAAATTGGACAGATACATGCAAAAGGATGAAACTAGACCACCAACTGACACCATACAAAAAAATAAACTCAAAATGGATAAAAGAATTAACGTAAGACGGGAAACCATAAAAATACTAGAGGAATCCACAGGCAGCGAAATCGCAAACATATGCCGAAGAAATTTCTTCTCTGATACTGCTCCTAGGGCAATTAAATCTAAAGAGAAAATAAACAAATGGGACTACATCAAAATAACAAGCTTTTGCACAGCAAAGGAAACAATTAACAGAACAACAAGAAGACCCACTGCATGGGAGAACATATTTGCCAATGATATCACCGATAAGGGTTTAATCTCCAACATTTACAGGGAACTCATGCAACTTAACAATAGAAAGATAAACACTCCAATCAAAATATGGGCACTGGAACTAGATAGACACTTTTTGAAAGAGGACATACAGAAGGCCGAAAGACATATGAAAACATGCTCCAAGTCACTAATTATATGAGAGATGCAAATCAAAATGACAATGTGGTAACATCTCACACCTGTCAGAATGGCTATCATCAACAAATCAACAAACAACAAGTGCAGGAGAGGATGTGGAGAAAAGGAACCCTTCTGCACTGCTGGTGGTAATGCAGACTGGTGCATTACCAGTGGAGAACAGTATGGAGCTTCCTCAAAAAACCAAAAATGGAACTCCCATTTGACCCAGTGATCCCACTTCTAGGAATATATCCCAAGAAAACAGAAACACCAATCAGAAAGGATATATGCACTCCTATGTTCATAGCAGCACAATTCACCATAGCTAAGATTTGGAAACCGCCTAAGTGCCCATCAGCAGATGAGTGGATTAAAAAACTGTGGTACATCTACACAATGGAATTCGATGCTGCGGTAAAAAAGAGGGAACTCTTGCCTTTTGCAATAGCATGGATGGAACTGGAGAGCATTATGCTAAGTGAAATAAGCCAGTCAGAGAAAGATAAATACCTCATGATTTCACTCATTTGTGAAATATAGAGAACAACATAGACTGATGAACAGGGACAGATCCAAAGACAGAAACAGCGATCAGACTATCAATCCCCAGAGGGAAAGTAGGGGAGGGAGGGGGCAAGGGGAAGAGATCAACCAAAGGACTTGTATGTACGCATATAAGCCAAACCAATGGACATGGACAACAGGGGGATGAGAGCATGAGTGGCGGGGGGAAGGATGGAGATTTAATGAGGGGGATGAGGACACATTTGTTGTTTTTTTTAAATATATTTTTATTGATTTCAGAGAGGAAGGAAGAGGGAGAGATAGAAACATTAATGAAGAGAGAGAATCATTGATAGGCTACCTCCTGCCCACCCCTAACTGGGGATAGAGCCCGCAACCCAGGCATGTGCCCTTGACTGGAATCGAACCCGGGACCCTTCAGTCCATAGCCAACGCTCTATCCACTGGGCCAAACCAGCCAGGGCGAGGACACATTTGTAATACCTTAACTAATAAAGAATTAAAAAAATAAATAAAATTTCCATTAAAAAAAAGATATCAACTGCATTATTTCATGGACCTATAATAAGCTCTCCAAAAATAAATATGGATTAAGAATAATAATAATAATAAAATAGCCATAGCAATTTTTAAAAAAATATATTTTATTCATTTTTTTACAGGGAGGAAGAAAGGGGAATAAAGAGCTAGAAACATCGATGAGAGAGAAACATCGATCAGCTGCCTCCTGCACACCCCTTACTGGGGATGTGCCTGCAACCAAGGTACATGCCCTTGACCGGAATTGAACCTGGGACCCTTCAGTGCGAAGGCCAACGCTCTATCCACTGAGCCAAACCGGTTACGGCCATAGCAATCTTGAAAAAAAAACCAAAGTTGGAGGGATGACAATACCAGATACCAAGGTATCTTGCAAAAATGCCTGGTACTGGCACAAAAACAGACATATAGAACAATGCCACAGAACAGAGAATCCAGAAAACCACCCAAGACATTTAGCTCAATATTTGACAAGGGAGGTGAGAGCTTACAATAAAGTCAAGATAATCTCTTCAGTAAATAGTGTTGGAAAAATTGGACAGATACATGAAAAAAAATGAAACTAGACCACCAACTTATTCCATACACAAAATAAACTAAGTATAGATAAAGTCTGTAAACATAAGATGGGAAAGCATAAAATTCTTAGAAAAATCTACAGGCAGCAAAATATCAGACATATATCCTAGCAATGTATTACAGATACAGCTTCTAGGGTAATGGAAACTAAGGAAAAAATGAACACATTTACCAATGTTATATCCTATAAGGGTTTACTTGCCTAAATTTACAGGGAACTCATACATCTTAACAAAAAGAAGATAAACAATCCAATCAAATAATGGGCAAAGGATTTAAATACACACTTTTCGAAGGTGGATATATAGAAAGCCAAGAGACATAAAAAAGCATGCTCAAAGCCACTTATCTGAGAGACACAAATCAAAACCACAATGAGATATCATCTCACACCTCTCAGGATGCCTATCATCAAATAATCAACAAATGACAAGTGCTGGCAAGGATGTGGAGAAAAAGGAACCCTTGTGCATCGCTGGTGGGAATGCATATTGGTAAAGACACTGTGGATTATACTATAGTTTTTCCACAAAAATTAAAAATGGAACTCCGATTTGACCCAGTAATCCCACTTCTAGGAAAAGTCCCAAGAAATCAGAAACAGCCTTAGCCACTTTGGCTCAGTGGACAGAGTGTCGGCCTGCAGACTTAAGGGTCCGAGGTTCAATGCCGGTCAAGGCAACATGCCAAGTTGGGGGCCTGATTACCAATAGGGTGGGTGAAGAATGCAGCGATCAATGATTCTCTCTTATCATTGATGTTTCTATCTCTCACTCTCCTTTCCTCTCTCTGAAATCAATAATGAAATATTAAAAAAAAGAAATCACAAACACCAATCAGAAAGGACATATGTTCATAGCAGCACAATTTACCATACCTAAGATATGGAAATAGCCTAAGTACTCACCAGTAGATGAGTGGATTAAAAAACTGTGGTGCATCTACACAATGGAATACTACCCTGCTGTAAAAAAGGAGGAACTCTTACTATTTGAAACAGCATGGAGGGAACTGGAAAGCATTATGCTAAGCAAAATAAGCCACTCGGACAAAGATAAATATCACATAATCTAACTCATTTGTGGTTAATGTGGGGAAAAGGACACATATGTAATACAATATATATTACTTTAGCCAAAACCGGTTTGGCTCGGTGGACAGAGCGTCGGCCTCTGTGTCGGCCTGTAGACTGAAGGATCCCGGGTTCGATTCAGGTCAAGGGCATGTACCTTGGTTGCAGGCAAATCTCCAGTAGGAGGTGTGCAGGAGGCAGCTGGTCGATGTTTCTCTCTCTTCAATGTTTCTAACTCTCTTTCCCTCTCCCTTCCTCTCTGTAAAAAATCGATAATAATATATCTTTTTAAAAAAATACTTTATTGCTGCCCTAACTAGTTTGGCTCAGTGGATAGAGCATCGGCCTGGGGACTGAAGGGTCCCAGGTTCAATTCTGGTCAAAGGCATGTACCTTAGTTGCGGCACATCCCCGGTGGGGGGTTGCAGGAGGCAACTGATCGATGTATCTCATCAATGTTTCTGACTCTCTATCCCTGTCCCTTCCTCTCTGTAAAAAATCAATAAAATTTATTTTAAAAAAATAGTTTATTGCTAAGGACTAGTAACAAGAATCTGAGCTTGCTAGAACCATGGTGGCACGAGACCTGCTGAACGGAGGGTTGCTAAAAATATGGCGTTTCTAGAAACACCGGTGTGGGGGAGCGATATCTGCATCTGCAAAGCGCAATTAAGCACAGGCAAAATATGTGTTCCTGTATGTCGTAAGCAATTAATATATAAAATATACCAGGCAGTCAAAAGAATCTTTAAACAAAAAATACAGTTAATAAACAGGATAAGAAAATAGATACAATTCTTCAAAAAATATAGGTACAAATGACCAACAGGAATATAGAAAATGCTTTCCTCACTGATCAAGGAGGAAACCGTCAGGCTTCCAGCAACACTACCAACCACAAGTCCTTCCCTGTGAGTTTAGTGCAGCGGGGAGTATTGGACCTTCAGGAATAGAAGGGAGCAGCAGAAACAGACCAACCGTCCCCAGGACAGCAACTACCCAAGAAACAGGAAAAATCAAGCAGTTCCACAGTCTACGTGGGAGGAAAACAGCACACCCTAGGGCAGCCATGGGCAAACTACTGCCCGCCAGGCCGCCCATTTGAAATGAATAAAACTATTGAAATAAAAGACCATACCCTTTTATGTAATGATGTTTACTTTGGATTTATATTAGTTCACACAAACACTCCATCCATGCTTTTGTTCCCGCCCTCCAGTCCAGGTTAAGAACCCATTGGGGCCCTGGAGTCAAAAAGTTTGCCCACCCCGGCCCTAGGGGATGGGTCCTGGGAAACCAAAGAGCGAAGCCCAGGTCACTTGTAACACTGAGGCTCTTACCCAGTGCGGATATAAGTTCAAAGTTCTCCAGCATCACATTCAGGTACAGCTGTCTCTGATCTTTGTCAAGGAGGCTCCATTCCTCCCTGGAGAAGTACAGGGCAATGTCCTCAAAGGTGACTCCAACCTGTCAGAATTTAGACAATTAAATGCAGAGCTGACTTTCTTAGAACCAGTAATTCTACTCCTTACACATATTTCCCCCTTCAACCTCCTCCAGGGCACCCGGTTACTGTGGACACCAGGCCCTAATGCCAGTGCAGGCTGCTCTCTCATCACAGTCCTGCAATGAATGGCGATCAGCAGAGAAGCCAGGTTGGGTGGGAAGGACTGGGGGAGGGGAGGGTAGAGGGCAATGCCATTTAAGGTCTGGGCGATGCCTGCAGGGCCCCAGCCTTCCTGCCAAGCAACACCACTGCAGTCTCCTAGATCCTGCCTCCAAGACAAAGCCAAGCGTGGGTTTATGCTTCCCATTTAAGTCCCCACAGCAGGTCCCGGGGACCATCAGCGCACACTTCCTCCAGATGTGCTCACCACTGTGTAATGTTTATCCCCTTCCCATGTTCAGACCCCAGATTCACTCCCTCAGCTCTGCCCTCTTCCGGCTCCAATAACACTGGATCTCGCTGGACTCACCCATGAACTTGGCATATGCCCTGTAGAGAGCTTGTAGTCCAGCCGGATCCACGACCACCCCAGGCCCCTGATGGACCCCACAGGCGGGAAAGCTCCGAATGAGGCTGTGCCGTCCTCCCTGCAGCCTCTGATCTTTCCGTCAATACTCACAGCCCACATCCTCAGGGACCATCAGATGGAAATCACCCCGGTCCTCACTGCCCTGCACCTGCTGTGTCCTCAGAAGCCACAACACTCCTCTCTCCCCTCCACCTTCCTCACGGTCCTCCACGCGGGACTGAGCTGCAGGACGGGACAGGCGCCCTCCCCAGGCTGTGGTGTGTGTGTGAGGAGGCGGTGAGGGCCTGGGGGACTCGAACTCACCTCGGCCCGTCTCCTCCGCATGGGCGCCGCCATTGCCCTCTGTGGGCTGAGCGGGGCGGGAGTAGAAGCCGCTGCAGGAATGGCGGTCCCTGTCCCGGCCCTGGCGTGGGTCGGTGTGGCGATTCCGAGCTCAATCCCAAGTGTGAGCTGTGAGCACCACTGCAGGCTCCCACCATTGGCTGTGAGGCCGGGAGCACCACTCTCCGGCTTTCTCCACGGGACTGTGAGACCAGGATCTCCTCACCGCCTGACACAAAAACCTGAGAAGGCAAAATCCCGCCAGAAAAACTACCGGTCCCGCCCTACAGAAACGGCCAAAGGGAAATGCCTTTTCTGAGCCTCCATTGGCTTAGCCTGGTGGCATTCCTTGCATGGACTTCTGGGTAATGTAGTTTCTCCGTTTCAAGGCAGGGAACTTGTATCTTCTCAGTTGCATCCAGGACTGGATTTAGGGGCAAATAGCCCAAGAACACACCAAATACACTACGCGTCCCCCAGCAGCTTCAGGGGAGGTGATTCCCTGGGCGAGTTTGTTTCTGGTGCACATGACTGGCTTCCTTTAGGGGCTGGTTTTGCATATCTTTCTTCAGGACCTGCTCATTCTGAATGGCAGGCATAGTTTCTTCATTCAGGACATTTGGCATGTGTCTCCTTCAGGACCACTGTAACATGCAGAGGTTGCTCAAGTCCCTAACTCGCTGTAACCTGCCTTCATTGAATGTGTTGTTCAACGTTTACGTCACAAAACAGACACTCATACTTCAAAGGCATCTGCTTCTGATGCCATCTGAAATGCAGCTCTGCCTGGGCTGCATTGGGGATAAGATGGCCAAGAGACAGGTGAAAGAAACGCTCAAAGTGACTGATCATCAAAGAGATGAAAATTCAAACAACAAATAGATATCACCTCACAACTGTCAAAATTGCGGCCATCAAAAATTCAACAAATGGAAAGTGCTGGTGTGGATGTAGTAAAAAGGGAACCTGAGTACACTGCTGGTAGGAATGAAAACTGGTGCAGCCATTATGGAAATTAGTATGGAGTTTTGCAAAAAAAATTAATATGGAACAGCCATTTGATCCAGTGATTTGACTTCTAGGAATATATCCTGTGGGTAACCCCCTATTGTCTAGACTAGCAGAGAGGTGTGGACAAGGGGCCTGGAAGGCTGGTGACCCG